AAAAAAAATCAAAAAGGATGGCAATCCGGTGGACATAAGGGTTCATCAACGTACCATCATTGGGATAAATATACTGCTCTGCATCTCCTGTTGTTCAACTCGCAAATGTTGCACAGGTACGGGCTCCAGCTGTGGCTTCGACGACTCTGAATCAAATTGGGCACATGATTAGAGATAGTTGTGAGAAAAAGATGATAAATGTTAACAAGACACCCACCAGCACCATTGCTCATAGCTGAAGTAGACAAAGAGAACTTTTCAACAATGAGATCAAACAGCTTCCTAATCTGCCGCAACCGCAACTCTTTTGCTTTCAAGCAGTTGAGCAATGTGTCAAGTACAAGCTGCTTCTGACCCGTGCGATGTATAAGGAATTCAATGAGCATAGCCTACCAATACACAGATTATTCACTAGCACTGATAAAAAAAGCAAAAAAGCAAGTTGACTGAGCAAGCATTACAAAAGAAAGACTGCTCGCCTACCTTTTCGTGTATTTCATCTTGAGCACGATTACAACAAACCGTTAATCGGTACATCATCCCAGCGACAGGATCTAAACGAGCAAAGCATGAAAGCAAGACTCAAAAAGTGCTATTTGGCTTACCAACGACTATATCTGGTTGGAACATCGACCAAAGAGGTATGTACAAGGCAGGGGGAGGTTGGCAGACAGGAGAAGGTTCTGAAAAAACCTGACATATTCCAAAACGTACTCCATACAAAGTAGCGAACAAACTTATTGAGACTGTGATTAGTGGAGAATGGGTAGGCCGATTGGGAGAAAGGGCTACATCAAAAATCATCGACTTCGCGACACCCTAAAAGGATCATCCACGTGCCTTTCCCAAAAAAAATGTTCTCATTCAAAGGTAGCAACCTGATGATGGACCACAATCAGGTTGTCGATCACATGGATTCCGAAACCGCCGGAACAACCTAGAAACTGACAGCATCAAAAAAAAAAATAGCGCAACCACGTATCAGTGAGGAGAGACAAGTTCAAAGGAAAAATCATTTGTATAGAAAAATCTACCCCTAAAACATCAGATTTCCTGCTGTATAAGCTAAAGGAAAGAGATAGACGCAGAGTTGTGACTATAAAAAAATCAAATTCATCACTGAATGATAGCGGAAACAAGGCAACAAAAGATGTCATGAACAAATAACAGCTCACCTAACGCTAGCGAATACTTCATCTTCGTAGGAACATTTGGATCTGACGAAAGTTCGTATATCAGGAGATCGGTCGTGGTTGCTCCTCGCACACTGTACCGCAATACCATAACGCAGATCTTTCCATATCTGTTCAGAAAAAAA